AGATGCTCGCCGGTCCTCTGTTATTTGGACTGTTCCTTGACTACTCCCCTACAGTTCTTCTGCTCTGTCCCACCAACTGTTCATCTTGCCTCCTGATTTACGATGACTCATGAGCAGTAGACAAAACTTCTGCAGGGCCTGTCCTGCACCGTCTCATCCCCATGATCAGTTTTGGGTTGTTGTGATCCATTGAGTCTTTCCTGGCTGATATTTGGCTGGTTTTTTACTGATTTGGGGGGTGTTTTATCAACTGCTTGGACTTTCTTTCTAATGTAACTTCGTCCAGAAGCTTTGCGGAAACCTGTGCAGCAGACTGCGGCATGAAGGTGGTGGGTATGCACGAGAAGCACTGGCCAGGAAATGCAGACCTCCTGCGTGGCAGGTGAGCATTTTATCACAGAACCCCACAGAAGTGATTTTTTATTCATTTCCATCAGGTTGATCCCTGTCCACAGCAAGCCTAGAGTAGACCTGCCCCAGAGGGCCTCCAGTCTGGAACCTTCCAGAGCAGGCTACCATGCCTCTCCCCTGTGTGGCTGCTGGGTGGGATGAGGCTGAACATCTGACTTCTTGGTTGGTAGACTTTATTCCATTCACATCCATGTGGTGAACCCCCGTGCCATCAGGTCCCTGACGTAGGTTAACTGTGGAGCCAGGCATGATGCATTCACCACAGATGGAAATATTAAGGACCCTTTCCATCTCGACCACACAGTTAACGACCACAAACTGGTGTCTGTTCAATTACTTGTTGACTCCCCCTCCTCCCAAAGCATGTGTTTTCAAACATCTCACATTCGTTTCTGATTCTTGGAAATGTCTTCCACGGTTGACATTTCCTCGACTTGCTACTCTCAATGTTTATGGATAATTAGGGACAAACGTTCTGCCCCCCAACTCTCTTCTGCCTGCCGTGTTAAGTAGTTAGCAACTGTGGTCTTGTCTCTTGCGTTTCGCTTTAGTCAATTTAAGAGAGTCTGCGCTTGGGGGAACATATAAAACTCATTAGTTCTTACCTGGTACCAAAACCCACAAGAAACTCACTACCATCAAGCCGATTGTGACCAGAGTGACACAGTAGGACTGAGTAGGATTGGCCCTGTGGATGTCTGAGACTATAGTTTGTTACAAAAGTAGAAAGACCCTCTTTCTTTTAAGGAGTCCCACGTGGTTTCAGACTGCTGGCCTATGGTTAGCAGCCCAACACATAACCAGGACACTACCCAGGCTCCCGCACACAGCATAGCGGACCCTTAAAGATCCGAGGTATCAACATTTTATTGTCCAGGTGAGATAGCAGTTGCTCAGAGAAGGTGAGGGACTTACCTACGCAGTGTCTGAGGAACAGCCTCACGTTAGAACCCTGTGCTTCTTTCCGCTTTCTCCCTTCAGCTCCTTGCCAGCAGAAAGCTTGTATGTACCTCCTTGTTGTTTGGGCATTGCTAATTATTAATAAGGTCTGCCACAATAGACTTTGGAGAGGGCTGCCTGCCAAATTGCCTTCAGAGTTTTCAAAAATGCCTGTCTTGCAAACTTGAGACTCTCTAGAGGCCTTTCTTGCTTCTCTGTTGGTGTGAACTTGCCCCCCACCCCACACCCCCTACCTCACTCAAGCCTCAGATGCCTCTTTGGTTCTTACAACTGCCTGAGGTCCATCTGCTTTGGGGTGGCTTCATTGTCTTTTGTCAAACAGCCCTGGGGGTCGGGGTTATTATGAGTCCAACTGCTAACCACAAGCTCAGCAGTTCCATCCTACCAAGTGCTCCTCGGGAGACAAATGAAGCTTTCGGCTCTAAAAGATGCAGTGGTCTCCTCCAGCAAAGATGGATAGTCTTGGAAACCTGCACAGCAGTTCTACTCTGTCCTGTAGGGTTGCTGTGAATAAGAATCTACTCGGTGGTGTTGAGTTTCATCATTAGTATCATTATTTGATAACATCTTTAGCTGAGAAGACTTGGTGGCACATGGTCCAAATCTAAATGGTCCAAATCACCACGGTCCAAGTCCAAATCCAAATCCAGTAGTTGTTCTGTGGGAGAAAGATGAGGCTGTCTGCTTCTGTAAGGATTTCGTTTTAGAAACCCGAGTGAGCTGTTCTACTCTGCCCTCTGGAATCCATAGGAGTCCAACTCGGTGTTTCCAAAAGTGGGTTCTACCACCCCATGGAGGCAAGTGGGGCAAGAGAAATATTCAGGGGGTGCTGCAAAGGCGGATAGCTACACTGTCTCCTGGACCCTAGAGTGCACAAGTGTGTCGTTGTCAAGGGAGTGTTTAGTACTTTCTTTTTTTTCTGAAAAGGGGGCAGTAGGCCAAATTAGTTTGGTCTAATTGAACTCATCAGCTGGGGGTTTAATGTCTGTCCTTATGTTTCTTGAAGTTTCAAAAGGAAGAGGGGTAATATGATAATTGATTACAAGATTACAGTATCTCATTGCATTTTTTCACCATGAACTGTATGTAATATTACAGACAGAGGAGCTCTGTTGCTTTGCCCGGGTCCCTTTCTTCACCACGAGTGGGAAAAACCACGTAAGTCAGGTGTTGCTTCTATATACATACATACATACAGTGAACCCTCGTTTATCGCGGTTAATCGGTTCTAGACCCTACCGTGATAAATGAAATTCCGCGAAGTAGGATTCCTTATTTGTAAATCAAATATTTTCGTAGTTAGAGCATAGAGAACATGAAAAAACACCCTTTGGTCACCATTACACTCGTATTACCCAATTTATTAAACGAAAAAGGGAAAATACAGTAAAACATTTTGGACGTTACAATGATCATTTATTATATTATTTATGGCATCAAGCGTGTACAGTATGAGCCAATCAGTGGCAGTCATGACAGAGCATGCGCTGTTCCGCAAAAACCGCGATAGAGTGAAGCCGTGGAAGTCGAAGCGCGAAGTGGCGAGGGTTCACTGTACATATTATGAAAAAGAGGAAGAGCCTTTTCTTAACTATGAAAAAAAGAGAGATGGATTACACCGTGACTGCAACAATGGGCTCAAACAGAGCAGTTGTGAGGATGATGAGGAGGATCAGGCGACGTTCCCTTCTATTGTGCACGGGTCGTTATGAGCTGGATGGCACCTAACAACAGCAGCACACCTATTATGTTCCAGGAGCCTGGGTGGCTCAAGCAGTTGCAGTCACTTGCCAATCGAACCAATCTAAGGTTGGCAGCTCAAACACAGTTAGCATTTTTGCAGAAGATAGGCCTGGCATCTGCTGCCATGGAGACTACAGCCCAAGAAATCCCAGGGAAGGGTTCTCCTCTGTCATACAGGGGGCTGAATGGGCCAGGAGCCACCTTGAGGGCAGCTGTACATAATGATGCTTCGTATTATCTCTAAACTTGCAGGAATACCTATCGTGGTGTCTGGGCCTTTCTATAACTCATGCTGGAAAATAGGCGACACACAATTTGTTCCAATTGAGAGCAGACTTACAAATTCTCTTGGCAACACTTATGTTCATCTATACCCTCAGAGAGCTAGAAAACATTACTCATTGCTTCCTTAGCTTGTGTGGAGTTCCCTTGATCCTTGAGGCAATGCCTTCAGTTTTGAGTTGATAGTTCATTTCCAGCTGCTTGTGTGCTCAGAGCTTGTGAATAATAGAATCAGTCCCCAGACATGGAAACTTGTTCTTGATTATTTATTCCCACGAGCTGCCCTGGTGTTAGCTGTATAGTGAGAAAGGAATTCGCTTGCATACCTGTTTGAACTCTATATCTATTTGAAGTCCATCCCCGTTTCCATTGCATCTATTCCAACTCATGACAACTGCGAGTTACCTAACAGAATTGCTCCAAAAGCGTTTTCTTGCCTGTAATCTTTGTACTGTATGGGGCAAAGTGACTTTAAAGAAGTCACTTTGAGGACCAAGGTGCGCCTGACCAGACCTATGGTATTTTCAATCACCTCGTATACACGTGAAAGCTGGACTGTGAATTAGAAAGGCCAGAGGAGAATTGGTGGATTTGAATCATAGCGAAGAATACTGAAATTACCATGAACTGCCAGAAGAATGACTACATTTGTCTTGGAAGAAGTACAGTCAGATGCTCCTTAGAAGCAAGGATAATGGGACATTGTCTCAGTGACTTTAGACATATCAGGAAAGACCAGTCTCTGGAGAGGGACACCATGCTTTGTAGAGAGTCAACAACAATGGACTCCAACATATCAATCGTGAGAATGGTACAGGACCGAGCAATGGCTTATTCTGTTGAACACGGGATGCAGAGGGTAGCTATGAGTCAGAACGGATTGGAGAACACCAAACAAAGAAGTAGACCACATGCCTTTCTTCTGAAGTGCCCTGGGAAGGTTCAAACTGCCCACCTTTGGATTCATAGTCAAGCACAAACCATTTGCATCACCCAAGGACCTTTTAAACTGGGCACTAAAAACAGTAAACTGCTTGCCAGGAGCCCGGCAGGGCCTGTCACTGAGATCACGTTTTCACAAAAGGAAGAAGACCCCATGTCTTGATGAGTCAGAGGCACGACTGGCTGAATATTTGTTATGTGACACCTTCACAGTTCTCTCAGGTAAGTATACGTCATTCTTTCTGGTAAACTTTCTTATACTTGTTATCAAAAGGGAAACAATAACAGGTTTGCCCCATCTGCCTGGCAGTAGTGGAAGCAAGACATTGACATTTGAACAGTCATTATAAAATATTTTTCCATGAGTCATCTTTAAAGGACTCTGGACCCAAGTGGTAAATAATCAACCACTTCAAAGCTCAAATATCACACAAACGATTTTTGACTGTGACTTATCCAAGTTCAAAAATGCAACTTGAGTTCGCAGTTTCATTTTAAATGTGCATGGATGGTTTTTTTCTTCCTAACCGGCTTGAGGATTTTGTAGAAACAAACTCAGATGGCCTCCATGTGGGGAATCTAAGTTTGCTTCATCTCTGTGATCAATTTTTAAACAATTAAATATAAATGGAAACATTCTCAATTTAGATGGCAATACTCACCTTTGACATTTCCTCCCTGTGTTCCATTTCAGTGTGCCTTTGGAAGAAGCTTGGCTTTTGAGTTGCTTTGTTTCAATCATGAGAATCCCTAGTGAGGGTTGAGCGTGCCTTTCTGGTTTGATTGAACGGTTGTTCTGGGTTGATTTCATTAACTATGAACATCTGTGGTTAAAAATCAACCACAGAACAACTCGGCAGGATGTTGATTCTGGTTCTGGGTAACATTTCAGATCCTGTGTTATTGTGAGCACCGGAAGCCTGCCGCCATCTCTAATGGAGACCAGAAAAGCCCTGACAGAGGAAACCCCAGGGGCGTGTTGCACTGCCCCCAACCTCACAGTGTCGATCCACATGTTTCAGCTGATGCAGGATCAGCCTTCAAGTTGCATTCATGCTGAATCCTGAAATCAAAGGATTGAATGAGTGACAAGGATCATTCTCTGCCCCTTGGGTGGTTTTTCATATATTCTCTAGCTGCACACCCATATACCTTGATATGTCTGCCCAGAACTAGAAGTCCTTATCACAGTCTTAGAATGTCTTTTTTCTTCCACGATCAGGTCAAACGTTTCCTGTTTCGCTCCATCATCTCGATGACAAATATGTTCAATCTTGTCTTTAAGCTCCTTTAAAACGTGTACCTTCTAGCAGATAAGCAAAATGGTTCACTTTTTCTCACCTACACTGTGTTAGACAGGGTTCTCTAGAGAGATAAAATCAGATTGCTGATAATTTTATATATATTTTTATAAAGGTAGATATACATAACACAAGAAAGGAACTGTTAAATTATAAACAGATAGAGATGTAACACAAGTAATGAACTGTTAAATTATAAAGCAGTACAAATGGCTCAGTGCAACTCACTCCCGTGAGAGAGTTGTGAGACACTAGCAGTCCTTCAAGTCTTGAGGGCCGTCCGGTAGTCCTCTGTAGAGAGAGAGCTAGGCTATCCCAGCACAGGCAGCAAAACAGCCAGGCAGGTCACCAACTGTCAGCCAGGTCACCAACTGTCAGTCCTCAACTCCAGAGATGTAAATTTCAATCATGTGGTCTTAAAGGGACCTCAACTTACAGTGACACAATCCACAGGCTAGGCGTCCCACAGGTAGTGTAGCTTATAAATTGAGGCACAGAACAAGCAAGGCAGCCGCACACTGGTCCGATGATCAAAGAGCGAGAGACAAGAAAGGCGAGGCTCACCGAGCCATTTATCTCTCCGCCCTTCAATTAATCCCACTTGTGTTGATAGTCCAGGCTGACACAATAAACTAACTATCTTATACACAAACACATTTAATAATGCGCCCAATTTTCATATTGCAGACAAAAAACAAACCCATTGTCATCGAGTTGATAAGATATCTCAGATTGTAAATATTTACGAAGGCGGTTTCCCTCACTCTTCTCCCACAGAGCAGCTGGTGGGTTTAAACTGTTTATCCTGTAGTTAGCAGCTCCATACCGATTCCAGAATACTATCCAGCTTCACCATTAAAATCATATGCAATTGAGGACAGCAGGCATGAAAAAGCAGAACAATTGTGACAAACGTAATCTCCAGAAGGGGACATCTAAGGGGCTTCAAAAAGCTTGTGGGGAAACTGTACTATGTTTTTACTCCCTTATAAAAGAAAGTTAGAAGTGTTTCTGAACTGAGGTGCTATTTGCCTCCAGGTAGGAAGATTAGGATTTGCAACGTGAGAAGACTAGCAGCTGTAGAATAAGACAGGGCTGCATTGTTTTATCCCGCACAAGCTATATAGTTATACCATGCAGGTTTTATATGCATGCACCTTCACTTACTACCTAGTAGGACCTGGAAGAAATAGTTTACTTTACTGAGCATAGTTTACTGGGGGATCATTGAAAGGCCCTGAGATAAAGCCTGACAGAAAATAAAGCCACTTTCCTTACCTTGCAATATGTAAAAGAAAGTCAATAATAGGACTCATCATTTACCACCATTACCATGGCTATTGTAATAATTATTATAACTTCCTAAATGTCGTGTCACGGGTAGCTGTTAACTTGATAGCTCATGGAAGCACCTTGGAAGAAAGGCCTAGAAATCTACTTCTGAAAAATCAAACCTTATCATTTCTATTGAGCACAATTCCACTCTACTCTGCTACACATAAAGTCCCGAAGAGTCAAAAGTGACTCCACAGCACGTGGTTTGTCCTTTTGTTAATTTTGGTTTTTCTATATGCTATAGAATCTTGGACG